CCCTCCCTCCCAGGCAATGTCTCACCTCTAAGTGGAGGAAGAGCACTGTTCCAAGAGTGGAAGCAAGGCTTAAGTGACCAAACAGCCTTGGAAGTCAGGACAGAAATGAGCTGTGGCACTACATCTTAAAGCAGTATGGAGAAACTAGGACTGTTACCTACATGCTAACATTTTACCTATGCTTCAAATGCTGTTGGTTATGCAATCACATCACACCTAGTTTTCAGTGAGCTTGCTCGAGCACTGTCAAGCATGCAGTGATAGACTCCTAAAGTAATTATCAGGTTCTCCAGATAAGTTTCTCATTTCACAACTGTTAATTCTCTGTCAAACATTTATAAAATCACTTAATACACAAGTAGTTACCTTTTCCTCTGTTCCAAATGGTTAAATCAATCTCTGTATGCTTGCACGACCTTATTATACAGCCTTCCACACAAATGATTTCATTTATTTTAATTTCTAAAATGCCCACGGCAGCACCAGCAATTTCAAGATTTCTAGCAGTGCTGAAAGCTCCTTCCATTATAGAAGAGCAATCTGTAGCACTACTATACTGAAATACTCTTCAGTGCCAACAAAAGGGTCAGTTTAGACTATGAAGGTTTTACTCTTCCAAGAAACCTATGAAAACCAAGAGACCTATGAAGAAATAAAAGCTACCTATAAAGAACAGTGAGAAATTGAACTTCAAGAATTAATACGTAAACCAACAAACTAACATCGGAAAGCTCTGTGGTTTCCTTGCTTAAGAACTTGTTTAGTTTGTTATTTAATAGATTGAGAGTTTTTCTGCAGTCCAATTTTTAAGAAGTTCAGAAGTGATTGCTACTGTGAGCTTGTTTGCTACTAGTAAGAATAATCACTTAACTGTTCTAATATTAGTGACTTATTTTTAGCAGAGAGGAGTGCTAGAATGACTTACTAAGATGCATACCATAGGCATGCAGTAAGCAACAAATCACCCTTAAGCACCATTAAGTCTTTAAAAAAAAAAAAAAAAAAAAACCACCTACAAACTACCTAAAACAAGCAAAAGAAAACACTCAGAAACTCTTGCTGAAACGCACCAGTCGCACGGAGGCTTACACACTCTGTTTGCTTTGAGATCAGCTTCCCGAGGCTGAACCACGCAAAATCACTGCGTTTAACCCAACAAGCTCGGTTAGAACCAAAGAAACTCGCACTGCCAGCTGTGCACAGCTCCGCCTGCTTTAGGCCGAATGGCACCAGGAGCCTTAACTTCTCCGAGGCCGCAGCTCCCTCACTGTCACAGCGAAACGCTGCCGAGGAACGGGCTTCACCCAGAGAGCGGAGCGATCTTCCAGATGCCTTAACAGCGTAGAAAACGAAGCTGTTCGAATGGAAGTTAAACGACTCGTTTCTTTAAAACCACCACGAAGTCTCAAAGAGACGCGGGTAGCGATTCAGACAGAGCCGCGCAGCTCGGCACGTGGAAACCTACGGCATTTCGGAGCCGGGATGCTTTTCCCCGCCGTCTCCCGGCGGCACCGACCCGGGGCTGACAGCTCCCCGCCTCCGCCTCGCCGGGGCCGCTGCCGCCCGCTTGCGGCGGGAGGAGCGGGGAGAGACGGAGCGGCGGCGGAGCGCGGCCCGGAGTCAGCGCTGCGGGCGGAGAGCCGCGAAGCTGGGGAGCGGCGGCGGCGGCGGCGGCGGCGGCGGCGGCGACGGGTCCCTCCCTGCCTCCCGCCCGCCCGCCCTCCCTCCCCTCCCGGCCGCCGCACGGCCTGTTCGGCGCCCGCAGACAAAGGGAGGAAGCGGGGACGAGCCGGGACAAGGAGGCGGCGGCAGCCCCGACAGCCGCATCCTTCCCCGCTGAGCAGCAGCCGGCGGCGCGCGGCGGGAGGCGGACGGGCCGGGGCTCACCAGGATCCGCTTGAAAAGGTTGCTCTCCTTGGGCGGCAGCGGCACGGACGGCATGATGCGGGCGGGCGGCCGCGGGGCAGCGCGGCTCGAGGTTGCGAGGAACGGCTGTCGCTGCGAGGAGGAGAACGAGGCGGGGGAAAGGAAAAGGCGATCCACCAACTCGGCTCACGGGCGAGCGGCGGCGGCGACTCTTCAACTCATTGGCCTGCACCGCCCGCCCCGCCGGCTCCCCTCGGGCGCAGCGCGCGAGCGCGGCTCCTCTGCGCAGCTGCCGGGGAGGCCTCGCCGCCCGACTGACGCTGCAAAATGGCGGCCGGGGTCCCCCGCCGCGCATGCGCACCGCCGCCTAGCGCGGGGTTGGGGGTGGGTGCGCGGGTGCCGCCGGGCTGCTTGCCTGCCTGCCTGCTTGCCGCCCTGCTCGCCTCCCTCTCTCCTCTCCCCGCGGTGTGAGGGGTTGGTTGGGTCGGGGTTTGCTTTTTTGAGTGCAGCGCTTGGTTGTTTCCTTCTAGCTTCCCCTTTCGGCCGCACACTGAAGCGAGTGGTCCTCGAAAGCGCCCCGAGTGGGGTTGGAGGAGGAGGAGGAGGAGGAGGAGGACGGGGAGGAAGGGGACTGCCGCCCTCAGAAGGTGTAAAAATAACTCCGGCTCGCTGAAGCCCTGAGTCATGGCTATTTCAAAGCCTTCGAAACTGGATGCTTTTTTTTTTTTCTTTTCGGCGCTTGGCCTCGCCCGGCCGTGCTGAGATAAGGCAGAAAATCTCTTTGTCTCCTCGCAGCCTCCCCCTCTCCTCCGGCCCTCATAACCCGCTGTTGGTGCCCGCTGTCAAGCTGGGCTCTGGGTGAGCCGCCAGCCCGGCCTTTGGGATGTCATCTATGGCATTAGCTCTTTGTTCAGCTGCTTATACAAAGCTTCCCAGCACTACCGTGCATGCTTAGAGCGGTGTTTTGTCATTGCTTGGCTCCTCCGACGAGGGAGGCTTAAGGTCTTTTGAAAATGATTTTTTTTTCCTCGTTATTTGCAGAAATGGTTTTTAAATGGATCTTTGCAAAGCTAAAGAGCAAGCCAGCAGCGCTGAAACCACGCAGCATGGGGTGCTTCCTTGGGAGGGAAGCTGGTTAAGCTGTCAGAGTTGCAATCAATTAAAAAGATCGTGCTGGGGAGGGGATGGTGGGGCGGAATTAAGCAGCTTCAATGAGAGTCCCCGTGTAACTACTTTTTAAATACATTAGTTATGTTTTAAAATAATATGATTCCTGTAATAATATGGTTATCACCTACTTACTTTTACAAGGCCATATAGCAACAGGAAATGGTTTTAAACTGGAAGAGGGCAGATTTAGACTAGATATTAGGAAGAAATTCTGTGAGGGTGATGAGACACTGGAACAGGTTGCCCAGAGAGGCTGTGGATGCACCCTCCCTGGAAGGATTCAAGGCCAGGCTGGATGGCGCTGTGAGCAATCTGGTCCAGAGGGAGGTATCCTTGCCTATAGCACGGGTTTGGAACCAGATGATCTTAAAAGTCCCTTCCAACCTAAACCATTCTGTGATTTCTGCTGCTCAGGTGATGAGCTTAGTGGATGTGCATAGCAAAGCAAGCATGTGGAGATAACAATTAGGAAGGCTGTACACTTAACAGGCTGTATTTGGTTACAGAAAGCAAGTAGTGGTATGGCTGAGACAGCAAATCCCAAGCAGTCTGTCCTTTGACTTCTCACAAGCCTTGCTAAAGCCCATGCACATTGGTCCTTCCTTTTGTGTTGGAGGGAAGGAGAGCGGGCATGTTTTTGGAAGAGAGTAAGCTGGAAAACTAAGCCTAACTCAGGGTCTCAGTGTTTGAATTTTTTTCTGAGCAGTTGTACTGTTGACAAGGACAGCTCTGCTGCATCATTTCCAAGGTTTGCACCTCAGCACTGAATTAGCACTGATTGTAACTAGTTGGAGCCATGGCTTCATGAACTCAGATTTTCTGTCATTGCAGAAGGCTTTATGCCTTTGACTGGTTTCTGTGGTAAACCTCCAGGATAGTCAGGTGAATACTGTGCTTAGTGAACCTTTGGTCTGAGACAGTAAGGCTGTCCTTTATAGCAAAGTTTCCTGCTAGTCCAAATACTGGAACAAATGCCATCTGAAAACAGGCAAAACTGCAAATGAGAGGCAGGCATTTGATCTGCATTTCAACATGTGTCTGTATTACAAATCTGTGTTGAAAGCAGCAAGAAAAGGAGAACAAGCTGGCAGCAAAGAAACAATTTTTAGCTGAGAGAGACTAAACATAGAAATGAGTGTTGGGAGGGGGGGGGGACAGAGGGCTGGTTGAAAGTGAGGTTTGGAAGTACAGTCAAGAAAACTTCTTGTCATTTAATCCCACTGTGCTTGGCCAAACAAAGCGCTTTCTACAGGCTTTGTTAATAAACGGGGCTGTATTCAAGGCATGTGTGATTCTGTCACCAGTTTTCTCTACGAACAGAAAGAATTCAGAAGTCTGTCAACAGATTATTTAGGTCAAAAGCGGGAAGCAACATCCAAGCACAAGTCTTATGAGGAGCGATTGAGGGAACTAAGATTGTTTGGTCTGGAGAAGAGGAGGCTCAGGAGAGATCTTATCACTCTCTATAAATACCTGAAGGGAGTTGTGGTAAGGTGGGGGTCGGCCTCTTCTGTGTAACTAGCAATAGCACTAGAGGGAATGGCCTCAAGTTGTGCCAGGGAAGATTCATATTGGATATTAGGGAAGATTTCTTCTCTGAAAGAATGGTTAGGTACTCGAATGGGCTGCCCGGGGAGGTGGTTGAGTCATCATCCCTGACATCAAATCTAAATCTCCCCTCTTTTAGTATAGCCCCCCCCACAGCCCCCCTTGTCCTTTCACTATCCGACCGTGTGACTGTGTGAAAAGTTGGTCCCCCTCCTGCTTATACGCTTCCCTCAAATACTGGAAGGCCTCAATGAGGTCTCCCCAGAGCCTTCTCTTCTCCAAGCTAAACAAGCCTGGCTCCCTCAGCCTGTTTTCATAGGAGAGGTGCTCCAGCCCTCTGATCATCTTCATGGCCCTCCTCTGGACTTACTCCAATGGTTCCTCATCCTTCTTGTGCTGGGGGCCCCAGGCCTGAATGCAGTACTCCAGATGGGGCCTCACAAGGGAAGAGCAGATATGGACAATCCCCTCCCTCATCCTGCTGTCCATCCTTTTGAAATTAAGTTGGCAGCTTAGAGTTGCCAGATTTAAACTTAAAAGCACATCCCAAGTGCCATGTCCCATTCCCTGGAGCCTGGGGAGCTGCTGCTGTCAGTTCCCCCTCTGCCTGCTGGCCGAGGGCAGCAGCACCCTGCCCTGAGCACCAGCTGCAAGCCATGGGCCTCACCAGCTCCATAGGCCAAAGCAAACCATAAGGGAGGTGGAAGCACAGACAGAAATGGAATTTCCCATCTTTTATACTCAATTCCCTTATTCCGTTTCAAACGTCATCCTGGAAATAGAAGGAAAGGGTGTTTCCTATTCATTGTTGTTATGAGATATGAGGAATATGTCCCCTGAGTCCAACCCGTGTCCAGTCTGCTGGCTGTGGGGGAGTGCTGAGAATCAGTTAGCCTGTACTGTCATGCATAGAGTTAAGTTAAAGAACTGCCAGCAAGGATAGTGAAAACTGAATCACGATTGCTTTTAATCAGAGGGTTTAATGTAATAGCTGTTTCTGGCTGCAGTAGGAGCTGATGTGATTTTTCTTGGCCTACCCTCTTCTTTTTCAGTCTGTTTTGTAATTTTGAGTGCATGGCCTGCCTTTAGTTTTCATGTTCTTATTAGCTTTTTGGTTGATTGCCCATAGATCACCTTTTCATGATTTTTAAGTGTCAGATTGGAGGCTCCTTGGAGACTGCAGGGGGTTGTTTGCTGTGGCCTCTTTGTAAATTGGATGGGCTCTGGGATGGCTCCTGGTTTCTGAGGCTGTCTTTTAGTCTGTTCCCTTTGCCTCCTGTCCTCCTGAGGGGCTGAGCAGAGGCAGGAGCAGCCCTGAGAGTGAAACAAGAGGCTGGTTATCGTATGCTGGTGAGGTTTGGTACAAATCTTCCTATCATCTCGTTTTCAGCCTTTTAGGTATATTTACCTCACCAAAACATGTTGATGTTATATGTGCCAAATACAATGTTTTATACACATATATATATATATAATCCTGGTGAATGATAGCAGCTAAGAAGAAAGAAACTTAAAATCCAGTGTTCTCTAAGGCATCTACAGCAGAGTTGGATTTGCTCAAACATAAAAAAAGATAGGGAAAGTTACTGTAAAAGAAGCAAACTTTGGAAGAGAGAAGGACTTCTTAGTGCAAGCTGTGCACCTAAGGAGAACATACGACAGTTTCAGGGAGTTTTTCATCTGAGGATTGAATACATTTTCCTTCTATGACATACATAGGAGCAAATTGGCCTTTTAGGTGATTATAGGTATAAAAAAACATTGTTACGTACAGTCTTTTTAAAACGTGAATATAATGAGGGGTATAGATAACATTAAACAGATTATACAACTGCTTGTTAGCTTAATAATGAGAATGGTTGTGTTTAGTAGCATTTTTTATGACTGATATTTGTCTTGTGTAGTGTAGTACTAATTCATGTGAAGTATAATTATAGCCAACTCTGACATGATTTGAGTAAAGTTTACGTAAAACAACAATCTCTGAATAATCAGATTTGAAACTCGGGGTATTTTCAGCCCGTGTTTTGGGAACATACACAGGAAAGTCCACTTATGTAACAGCACAGAACTTGGAAACAGGACTATTCCCACTTGTTGGTGTGCTTGTCATTTTAGACAAAGTGTGTGTAACTATGCAGCTGTGAAAAAAATATTGAGAATGTGGATCTAGATTTACTTGTAAGATCTTTTTAAAATTATTTTGGAGCTAGCATTTCATAATTTACTTGTAAAACTGTTAAAGCCATGCTTGCAAATCCGTGATCACTGCTCCCAGGGTGATTGCATCTGCAGGCTGGAGGAGAGCAACGTGCTGGAAGGACAGACAGACAGAGGGACGGCCAAGCCAGGCAGCTGCTGCAGCACGCCGGGAGTTGTGTCTGTGAGCAGGCATGCTGGGAGTGCGAGTCTTTCCACTTTACTTCCTGTCTGCAATGGCCTCGTGATGTAAGGCAGGACCTGTCTGGCGCTTCCATTTGGGGAGGGTGAGTTTGTAGGCTCTATGTGTGACACGGAGTCCACTCTCTGCCCACTCTGGGTTGCAGTGGCTGAGCTGAGCTGAGCCAAGGCTACTACCGGCAGCTGCCTGCTGGCCTCTGGCTCACAGGGCTGCCCTCCAGCTCTCCCAGCCCTGCACTGGGGAGGGCTGCACGGAGTTTTGTGCCTGGCTTTTGCAGGAGGGCTGCTTGGTGTAGCTGAGGTGGGAGGCAGAGGGCTATGAAAAGGGGGCTGAGGGCCCATGAAGCCTTGAAGGCACCTCTCTGAGGCTGCATTACTGAAACTCCTCCTTTATGCATATGTATTCTTATGCATCTCAATGGGATCGGTTTCACTGAGTTAATAGTATCCTTGATCATTAGAAGTGATTTTTAAAAGCTTTTAAATGAGTTACAGCATTGATAGCTGTCCCTTAACTAGAAATGAACTGATCTATTTACTTTTGTAATGAGACGATTGCAGCTGTCGTTTTTACAGACTGGTTTTGATTTGTGATGTGTTTATGCTGCCCACTGGGTTATTTTGTCATGTTAAGAAAGTCACTAAGAACTAGTCTGAGAAGCAGTTAATAGGCACTCTGCTGTACACGGCTCTGTAAAATTTTATGTGGGCTTATTTCTGCACAAACGCAGGGTGACAGCATCTCTCTAAGGAGGAAACAACTTTGTTTTGTCAAAAGAATAATAAAAAATATCTACTTCAAAATCTCTGACTTTCTCAAGGATTGGTGTCATGCAGTTGCTTAGTTCTTCAGGTATTTGAAAGTATTTTATTCCTAAAAGCTCAGGCAGAACTCTACAATGAATTAATTCTTATTTACACACGTTGTTAGTTCTGACTACAGCAGTATTTTTGTTAACAGTGGTTACCACTTGACTGGACGATGAGTGGCCATTCTGACTTGCAGTAAGTAGAGGCAACACCACTGACATCAGCAAAATTAAATGTTTTGGAGTTAAGTCCAACATGTGCCCCTGAAGAACTAAGTCCAGGGGTGCAGATGATGAGTCTGACTTGTGCATTCTGACTTACTGCTGGTGAAGGAGGTGGAATCTACTACACAGTCACTGGAACAATCCATAAAGATTACTGTTGGCTTTCTGCAAATCAGATTGTCCTTAAAGGTGCAGCTGTGAGTTTGGTAGTGCCTGCCACCCCTGGGGAACCTGGAGAATGTGCAGAAGCGGAATAGAGGTCCTTCCCTCCCTTTCTAGCTCTTCCAGTTTGTGTAGGCAGTGAAATAGATGTCTGGGCAAGCAAGATGCAATACCTTTTTTTTACTGTACATTGCTATTACAGGATAGTCCTTTGTTACAGGACCCATGGATGAAAGTAAGTAGGATGAGCAAAGCAACAGTGACACTAAGGGTAGCCTGTGTCCTGCAAAACTGTGCATTAAGTACCATGCAAAAATAAAGGGGCTGGATTTCAGAGTACCAGATTTGTAATCACACTTCTGATAGAAAATACGTCTGTCCCTTACCTACAAGTGTATCACGGGAAGGAAACAAAGCACTGCCCCCATATCTGACGTAAGACTTACATGGATAAGTAATTTCATGCAAGTATATTGTACTTTTGACTAACCTTTTGCAAAATCACCTTGATGTTGCTAATGTCCACCTGCCAAAGTTGTATCCTCTTATGGTAGTGGGTATGATATTGCATATACTGCACATTTTGTACCTTCTTTATATAGAATTTGATATCTGCACAGTAGATGTATTTTCTCACAGCTGCATTTTTGTTTTGCCAGTAAGGCAGGAAATGGTTCAGTTTCTCCAGTGAGAAGTATGGCAGATGAAGCTGTTGTCTGTAAAGCAGCATTGAGAAGATCTTCTACAGCATAAACACTGAGGAGATGAGGGAAAAGATTTTTCCAACCCCCTGCTGGTACAATGTTGCTGATAAGAGTTTCTTGTTTAAACTAAGACTGAAATGAATAGTTCTGTCCATAATGCTTCAGTTTGTGTTGGTGTAGTCAAGAACAGAATTTGGGTTTGATTCAGGTTGGATGACGATGATGATGACGATGATGATGATTATTATTATTGTTATTATTTTAACCAAATGCTTTTCTATAGACAGTGAAAGCACTCCGTGTCTCATCTTCTGCTAATTTCAGGTGGTGGAAGAATAAGAAACGATATGAAACCTCCACAAAGTGTCTGTTTTTTCAAGAACCTGCTTTCCAGTTTCTACTGTTATGGTCAGCTTCACAATTCCCCTCTTCCTTCTGTTGCAAAGAAGATGAGTTGTGTGATGAGACTGCACAGCTACGGATTTTGGAGGCCAGACTCTTTGCTGGACACGGCTAAATTCACTCTGTCATTTCATGGTCAGCTTAGGAAGAAGCATCAGGATTCTCGGGCATTGTGGAAGCATGAGGCTGTGCAGAAGTATCTGGAAACTCTAAGCAAGGAATATCAGCAGGTTAATAGTCTGCTAAATGCTGGTTCAAAAAATGAATTTGAGCAAAGGACCCTGAGGAGAAGACGTGCTGATCTATCCCCAGTTGCAACTGCATTTCAAGAAATCAAAGAGGCTGAAGGCGAGCTCCAGGAATTAGAAACCATGTGTAGAGGTAAGGAGAGCACATCTACTTACTCATTTTGAAAGAGTGGCTTTGCTTGTGATAAACCTCATTGCTCATCCTTTATGGAGAGCTTTTAAATGAATTAAGCCAGCTCTGGAACACTCTCTGGTCTTGCCTGTTCCTGGGAGCTTGAGTCCTTTTAAGGCTTTCTAGATCCAGACTTTTATTTTTCCTTTTATTTTTATGCTAGCTCTCTTAATACAGGTCTTAATGCAACCAACTTGGGAAAGTAGGGGCTGTTTGGACTCTGAGGGCTGTGCATCTTGCAGAAATAGTTTGGAAATGTTTGCTTTAGGTTCTTTTTCGGTAGAGCCTAGAGCATATGAACTGCAGGATAAACATCAGCAAGTCTTGCATGTTGAATAGACACAGACTACAGCCATGCCACTTAAAATGGGATTCCAACTAGCCAGTTTGATGCTTATTAAGCAAGCTACATGAACTGCCATAATTAGGTCCTGAATTGACAGCTTCCAACATAAATGACAACATTTAATAGATCTTGGAGGATATTTGAGAAGTCCTACAGGGAAAATTGGTGGTTATCCAAAAAGCTGCTGCTTTTCAATACTATGTTGCAGTAAAGGTTGGAGTGAAA